TCTTATTATAGTGAGCACACCATTTTCCCTCTGTGGGGAAGAATATACAGGAAATTTAAAGGCATAAAAGGGAAAATTAATGCAAACCGAGGCGCTCGAGGAACTCATTACGTAGACATCCAACCACGGAGCAGACGCGCATTTTGAAGCAAGAGCTTTGAACAAATAAGGTTTAGAATAAATGAGTTCAATTCTTTAGCAGCAAAAATAATATTTATGAATTGAAAATTCGAAGGTAAATTATAAGAATCTACTTTTATAATAGTAACAGAAATATTATATACAGCATATTCTTACCAGTTCCAAGGATGAAGCGAAAGGTGCTTTAAACCTATTTTTGATGTTATACCAGAAATTCACCCTTCCAAAATTCATGCATTTATTAATTATTTAAGCTTAAAAGAATATTTCCCGTCAACTTTCATTTATTATAACGTGATTATATTACATAGAGTTGCATTTAAATCTGATTATTATGATATGGTTAGATGAAATATATTACATGGATTTCAACAAACAAGAGCCAGGTATTAAAGATTGTATGATTATTTCAAAATAGTAGCCTATCTAGAGCTGAGTTTGGTATTATTCTAAACTCTAAATTCTTCGCTTATGTTTTGTCACTTTATTCAGACACCTTTCATCATATATGGCATTGTTCAGTTTCTTTTCATCTTATCGTTTAGACGTTATCCCTACTTATGCATACAAATGAAATATAATGTGTTTATTTATTACTTAAGCTATCCAATATAATTGAAGAAACTATTGAACATTTTCAAATGAGGTGAATATCTGAATTGGCGGCATTTGAATGAGAGTACAACATGTGTGTGCTAGACTTTCTCCCTCTATAATCTCTCTCCTATTTTCTGTAAGACTTTTTTAGCGTAAATGAAATTCACGGAGCACTGGCCTGGATACAACAATAATTATAGTCGGCCTGAATCAGTAGGTTCTATATTACAATAAAAACTGAAAGCCGCCCAGACGGGAAAGTGTTTAGTGACTCTAACTGCCGTACCGAAGGGTCCGGGTTCGAATTCCAAAGAAGGCATGCATGTATTTGCCAGCCCCTTCATATGAGGTAACGATGGCTTACCTGTTAGGTGTCTTCATAATAAAGTGACTATCGCTTTTGGCCTTAGTAGTAGCCAACATTTGTGAACGGATTAGACCCGCCATTTGAAAAAAAAAAAAAAAAAATGTGACAAGAGCAAGAATTTTAAAAAAAGTCTAAGAACATTTCCATTCTGTTTTTAAAATACTGGAGTAGACAATTTGATTTCTGCAATGTCTGTACTGCTGTCTGTCTGTATATTTTTTAAACAGAAATAAAATTTTTGAGGAGTTCGAAAATCTTATTACCCATATCGCTTCCATACCACTTTGAAAACCTTATGTGTTTGCCATATTAACTAGATAGTATGCTGGGAAAACGGGTACAAATTACAATAGAGAGCCACTTCTTTGTTATTTGATTAATTATTATTATTATTCTTTATGATTTTATCTTAAATTACAATAGAGAGCCACTTCTTCGTTGCTCATTCGCTGGCATTGCGATATCTATCCCGACGGTTTGACTATTTTATCTATTCAACTCTTTCCTATCGGGAGGAGCCAAGATCTCAAATATCCAAACAATCCTCTCAAACATCTAAAACGCCAGCATATAACGAATTTTTGTTGGAATGGATTTCCTTCCCCCATGCCAAGTAGAATGCTACAACGTTCTGCTTGGCATTAAATAGTTTATTTTAAATAACCTACTTAATACCAAGTAATTAAATAAGTTATCTTAACTTGCTTAATTGAAGCGATTATTCCTTTCTTGAGGATATTTGTGCTGTTTCACCCACTGTGTAGGACTGCAAGTGCGACCATCAGTAGGACAAGATTACAACTATGAGTATCAATAGCTAAAAGTTGACGTTACATAAAGGAGAGGGAAGGTGCATTCAAATAAGAGAGTTACTTTTAGACTCCTCAAAAGGATAGCTGGTATGTCATTTAACAACTCCCGAAACCAATGAGATATGCACTAACTTGATGCGGGAAAGCACCAGGTAGAAAAGGGGCGCAAGCATTCTGCCGACCTGCCGGTGTCTGAATGCACGTCGTTTTGAGCGACTTTGCTGTGAAAGCTTTAAAGCCTAAAAGTCTGCGATTAATTCACTAAGGATAGAGATTTTTCTATGGCGTACTTTCTAAGAGAAAATGGTTCCTATTTACCTCACATAGAGGAAAAATCGTGAGCAACGCTTTCAGCTACCTTACTTGTCAAGATCGGAAATGAGGACAAAGTTTCAGTGCTCAGCAAACTTTCCAGAGGTTAGTAAAATTAACTTTACTTTAAAGCCCTTGAATCTCACTCACTCTGCCTATGGTAGACTCTGCCCTGAGACTCTGACAAAGCTGGGAAGATACCATATTGTTTATATTATAATGTTAAAGATATATGATTTTCAGCATCTTTCTGGTTTCTTCTAGGCTATGGAAATGTTTATTTAGATTATAAAATATATGTTTAATTTATGCGTGACCTAAAATTCAAATCAGTTATTTTGTAATATATTTCTAGCTTCGATTCAAAATTAGCCTTAAATGCAATTTATTAAGTGACTTTTACAAATCTGCTCGATTACTCGAGTCTGAATGTTTATAATAAAAAGAGACGTATGAATTTAAAATCGGTTTTTTCGCAAAAAGTGGAATCATACACCAATTCGTCTGAAAGAGTAGGTGTGCTATGATATACAAAGCTTAATATGTATGAGAGAAATATTCAAATTATTTATCTGGAAGGGCGAAATCCGTTTTCTACATTTACACGCACGCATTTATTCAGATTTTTTTTAAAAAAAGGAATTTATATGCTAATATCGCGTATGTTTACATTTAAATAAGATTTAAAATACGATGGTTCATTCTTACTGGTAGCAGCTCTGTCATGCAACATGGATTTTGTACATTAATTCTTTATTATCATAACTACTTTTCAGTATTCTGTAAAAAGAAAAAAAGTAATTGAAAATTCATTTCCAAGAGTTATCATTTCCGATGTTTAAAGATAATCAAATATTTAATTCTTTACGATGTAGAAAATGTTAAACGAGTCTTAGAATAAACGTTTTAAATTGAAATAATGAAAGCTAAATTTGTTGCAATGTGTACCTGTAGAGACATTAGATAATTTGGAAGCAGGAAAGATGAAAAATGAGCAACCGCCTTCGCCGGGAATCGAACCGTGGACCTCTGGAATACGCGTCCAGAGTGCAAACCACCACACCACGAAGGCATGCTAAGAAATATCTTATATACCTATGAATCTTAAGATTTTCAATTAGTAACTTACTTTTTTAAGATATTTGACGATATTTTAAGTTTTTAAAAGGTTAATGAACAATGAAATTATTGCGAAATTTGCATTTTCTCTTGCTACTGCGCAGTGCTGAAGATATGTAAAGTTCGAAGCTGTATAGTTCCGTGGTTAGATACCAAGAAGGTGCATGGTGCGTATGCGTTTTGAGAGAGAGAGAAGACTATTTGTTCTCCCTACGTCCTGATTATCGATGTAGGACTAGTAACCACGCCTTTCTTCAACTTAGCCAGTAGCCGTGCCTTTCTTCAACGTAGCCAGTAACCGTGCCTTTCTTCAATATGGTGTGGTGATCTGATATATGGAATCCTGACAAGGAAAGGAGCTTTCGAAGATTATAATGGAAATAGGTATCCATCCGTATCTTCCAGACAGCATTTATATGAAGAATCGTAAGGAATTGTTGCAGCCACTAACTGACGACATACCAGTCAAGTTATTCACCCGTTATCCAACTCCCACCTTCTTCATGTTTATTTCTCACATGTCATAGGCTGACATATTCTGTTCATCGGTTTTGTAAAACTCAAGGAAAACACCCATTAAACTTTATGTTTAACTTATAGCACGTATGCTTTTTTGGGAAAGAACGAAGCTTCGTACTGCTCCAACACTCTCAACGTCACCCCAAATTAAAATTCAGCATAAATTATTTTATTAATTTTCTGCAATAATTAATGGTGCACATCTTCATTTATATAATTTCAGTATGTTTTGAATTAAATCATAACAAAAAGCAATAAAATACTTCTTCTAAAAAAAAGAGGAAATAATGTAGTAGATTCTATCCATAAATATTTTCCTGCACCGGAACTGAGTCATGTGTCAAACTCTAAAAGAAGATTCCAAATTTTTCGCTTAAATTCAAATGTATTAATATTTACATCTGAAGCTAAACGAAAGCTACAGTAAAAAAAAATTAATGGAATACAGAAAACACACACAAAAAAAATAATCATTAAAAGTTTCTAAAATTACTTCTTGTGCAAAAGTGACGTCATATGTCATGAAGTTCGTAATAATTTTTCCTTTCAATATTAAGCCTTTTGAAATTAAGCTAAAGGTAATTAAATCATATAGCTATTAAAATTAAGTTTCTTTCTTCGTACAATTTAACTGTACGAATAATAATGTAAGTAATAGATTGCCTAATGTTTTATTTAATTCCTCGTAAATGTATGTGAACAGCAGGGGGAGTGACATTCCTTCTAAATACAATCAAGCCTCAATGTCCTGTCCAGCCTTATTGGAGTTGTAATAAACTAATTTGATATATGAAGCAACGAAATTCCACGTACGAAGGTGCAACCTTAAAATTTGACCATAAAAGTGCAACAAAAGCTGTAGGAATTGGTAAAAACAATTACTCGGATGAAATACTGCATCGCAAATGCATGAGAGAAAAAATAACTATAAATTGTGTATGTTAGATTTCCTCTCTTAAATGGAACTTATACTCCATAAATGACATGATCATATAATTGAATATGCATTTTATGCATAAAAAATTAACCATAAATTCTTGTCTTAAATTGCACATGCGTAAGAAATTGATGGCATTATTTCCGCGTGCAAATTTTCTTCACATGATTAACTTTAGTTTATTTCTGAATTCATATTAAGATCTCATTAGGTTTTGGAGTCCTATTTAATATATTATAAATTTTAAAAAATTAGTTGCAGTATTTTTCTCTTTAATGTGTGCTAAATATTACCTTTCTGCAGCATAAACAAAATTAAAAGGTAAGATAAAGTTTTTTTGTATGTTTCTATAATCTGAATACAACTTTAAGGAGGAAAAATACACAAATCAAATAATGCCTGTATATTGATAGATTTTTTTAAAGTTTAATTACTCTTTTTTTCATTAAAACATAACTTTGACTTTTATACTTCTTCCTCTTTTTTTTTAAATACGTCGTCACTGATATAAAATTCTACAGTAAACGGCAATAATTATTGAATATTGGATTATTTAATATTATTTATTGAATTATTGACATAAATTTGTAAATTTAGAATATTTAAGGTAGTGATTGATAGCGATTTTATATTGTTGTTGAATATGTTCTGTCATTGTATATGTAGTAATACGGATATATTGTTGTTATGTGTCAACTAACTCAAATTTAAAAGCTGTACTCTGAGATTGGCATTACAAAATCTTAATGATCACAAAGGTTTTCTTAAGCTGTGTATTATCCAGCAATTCCTTCTTGAGGCGCCTACATACTTTCCTGGCGACCATTTTTGAAAATAAAAGTGATGACAAATAGTGTGATTCAGTGCCAAACAAATAACCATGACGTGATAACAAACTTATAAGTGTTTTGCCTTGTTTTTATATTAGTGAAACAAGTAGTATCTTTTTAATCAGTAATAAGACAGTTTAGGTTTGGATAACAAAAGCTAGAAGGGGGGGGGAAAGATTGAAATTCGGCACTTGCTTTTCCCGGAACAGCATGCAGTGCAATATTTTCATAATTTCGAAATTATAAGAATAACAAAATAACTATTAGTGAACTCAGTATGGTATTTGATTTAAAAACAGAAAAACAATGACGATGTAATAACGAAAAACTGTGGCAAGTGAATATCCATTTGACAGCGTGATTTACCCCATACAGCTAGATTTGTGTCTTCTAATTATGATACGGATTTCTTTTTTTTCCCAAAACTCCTCAGCAAAGTTTGGCGCAAGCCTGGTAGAATCTGCCAAATTTCAAGGCTCACAAAAGAGTACGTAATTATACTTTGTGATGCAAAATTAAACGAATACATATTTCCTATTCCGTTTTGTCCTAAATTTAGCTGTTCTAGGTAAGATAACAGAAAACAGCCCAATCGTATTTAAAAGTAGATTCCTCAATTTTAGCATTAGTCTGACCATGTGTTTGAGGTAACCAGCATATCATCAGAGAGAGTATGTTACAGATGAAGAAATGAAAGTGTTTCTTTTGAATGTATAACGTTATCAATTCTTAAATAAATCTTTCTGTGTTTCCATTGTTTTATTCCTTTCATCATTTAGGTTTGTTTTTAATACAGGGGTGTAGGGAGCACTCTAAATTTTTTCCGCATTTTATTTGTACGATGGCGAATATTGCATCTTATTAACCTGCATGTTATTAAAGTAATAGTTTTAATACAAAAAATTCTAATTAAATAACTTTAAACATAAGATTAATATATAAATTCAATAAAAATTAATAAAATACTGGAAAATAACTTAAAGATTCGCAAAAGATCTAGTTTCACAAAAATGAAATCAAATCGTGTTTATTCTAAACAAAGTTTTCTTGTTCACAAACTTTAAGAAATACAGTAGCATATTAGAAGCTATATTCAATTCCGTTTAAGATATTGGTTAAAATTAATTTTACTTGTTTTAGATGGAAAGTTAAGTTAATATTTATATGAAGAAGCCTATGTTTATGAATATTTATGGATACTAGCTAAACATAAATTATTTTATTGAATCTACGCTCTATTCTTTTAAGCGAACATTAAACAAACTTTATTACGTAAGTACATATCATATCCGCCATTTCACAAACTTAAAAACCATCATACAGAAATAAAAATCTTTTCAGATCAAAAATTCATAGTAAAGATTGAATTACTTAGCTTATAATTTGGGAGCGAACTCCCATCTTCATAATTAAAATACTTTTTTTTTAAAGAAAGAAGGGAGCTAAGGTAACTTCATTATGATGTTAATGAAAGGTGAAAGTTTCCATGATCAAAAGAATGACGCGGAGGATTGCATAATAATGTCAAAACTTGCTTGTTTTCTTCAAATTGAATTTATAACTGAATTGGCTCTTCAAATAAGTTTCAAGAGATTGGTTATCACTTTTAATAACACTAATACGTAACAGGATTCTAAACTTTAAGAAATTAGACAGGAATAAATGACTTTGAAACCTTATTTTTTTAAGTGCTCTGCAGTCGGCTTTGCATTAAAATTTGAATTGTTCAGTTACTGATATTGTCAGCAATAATATTTGTTTATTTTATTAAACTTCATAAAAGAAAGTTGTTTCACATAAACCCATACGAATTATATTATATCAAAACCCGATTTCAATTGATGTTAGAATATTTTTAAAAAACTAGCAAGGCAATATATTATCTATGTAAATTAATTTAACTGCTCAGACTTTATAGTAGTTAAGGAAACCTATTGTGATACCAAAGGGCCCGCGTTCAAATATGGGAGAAGGCATGGATGTTTGTTAATGTATAGTATCTTTGCAGCATGGAATGTGGCAAGTAGCAAGTTCTCTGACGAGGTTGATGGTAGGGATGGGGGACCCTCGGACCCGTCCCCACGTGGTGCTTTCCATCAAAATTGGGGGTGGGAGCTGAGCAAAGTCGTACTATAACCTGCATGGTGCTCAAGGCTCTTCCAACGACAGGCGCAATCTTACTGTCCTTGTACGATGAATTTCGTGGGCTTATTCGGACTTTACGGTCAAACAAGAAATAAGTCACAACAACAAAATTAATTTAAAGTAATGAAGAATAATTTCAGTAAATTAAGTATTTTTATGTATTAATAAATATTTATGATGCATTAAAAGAGCTCTCATAAAAATTATTGAAGAGTAATAATTATTAAAATAAAGACAATTAAGAATAATAATTGTTGAAAATAAAAGCAATTAAGAGTAATAATTATTGAAAATAAAAGTAAGTATTTTTTTAAAAAAGGTATTAAAGGGAGAAAGAAGGGATTTATTCCAGAAATCGAAAATATTATTGCATCAATGTATAAGCTAATACATTCAGTTAATTACATAAAATTCTTTTTATGTTAATGACGTTTAACAATGACCATTAATTGAAGGAATCCGTTTTTAAGTATTCTTTCTCCCTGTTTGAAATTTGCAGGTTTCATTCCCGGATCAGAATAAGAAGTTAGGTTATTTTTTCAAAAACCTTTCACTCTAAAACATAAGAAAATGTTACATAAACCTTTCATATTAACGCATTAAGTAACTACAGGAAAGCTACAGTGTCTTGTTATCGAGATCAAACATTAAGCAGTGTTTACCAATTAGGTAACTCTAACCTATCGAGAAATGATATTCTGGCATCACTAAACTTCAACATGACATTGCAAAGGATCATAAAAAACAATTTACTCTCTCCTCCTCCATTAGTGAAATGAAATCAGTCTACGACTCAGTATTATCTCATACGATGTGGGAAGAGTCTTCACATTTGTTCTGATGCAATCAGTACATTATTTTCTTGAAATTTGATGTGGCTTCTCCATAAAACTGTGAGACTAACTTTTGAATTCAAATTTCTCTTGTCATGTACCATATTTTGCTTTATCTCTTTTTATTCTTATGAGACAGGCAGATTTCTTTTTTCATGTTAACAACAATTTCTTCGCAAGGTAGGTTGCATCAAGGCCATCACTTCTGTATCAATTCTTAATAATGCAAACTAACTAGCCGTCCTAGTAAACTTTCCGAAAATTTTTAAGGTTATGCTTTATAATAGAAACATTTTTGGGCATTCCTCGTATCTCTTGAAACTTTATTGATGCCTTTCTCCTGTACGTGTTTTTCCTCAGTTAACACTACAATTTTTATTCCATTTTTTAAAGGACATGTCACCGAGGACATACATTCTGCGTGTAGTTCTCTAGTGCGGTTTATCCAGTCTTCTTCTTCTGAAAGTATATTTTTCCTTCCGAAGTACTAGTTCCATGATGTGGATAACATATCAAAATCATTTAATGACACTCATGTATGTTTATTTCTACGTTTATCTTCAATTTTTTAGCCTATCACATTGTTTAGTTGTTTAAATGTTTGCAAAGAGTGGTTCAAACAATTATTGTGGTGTATTATGCAATAGCTTACATTTCTGTTACGATGATTAAATATGTTTCAGAATTCCAGTAAACTTAAAGTATTAGGTAGCATGTTTTCTTTTACTGTAATATCCGTCGTTAGTTTTCCATTTGCCTTAATGTCTAAACCGACTATATAACTACTCAGGTAACAAATTCATCTTTGCTACCAATTTGAGATTATTAAATCATATGCTATCTATATAAAGTATTCATTCTTAACAAAATTGTCTGCTCTTAGGGAATGTGTCGATTAACAAGAAAGCTTTATAGAAAGGGATTTTTTATAAAGTAGGCTTTATTATACTGATTGATTTATTGAATTTCTTTCACTGTTTTCCTTTGTCTTCAGAATTAAAACTATATCATTAAGATTTCTGCAGAGTTCTTAAAATTTGATTGAAAGTTATTAGGCGAAAATCATTATCGGCTCGGCATTCTTCAGAGCAATGAAAGCATTTTATTGCGTTTGTCTGTACGCATTCATATAAAATAAACATTTTAGGTTTCCCAGAATACATAAAATGCATAATTAATTCTTAACTGGTAGGCATACACTTTGTTTACATACGTACATACTTAATACTTTACGTACATACTTAATATTCAGAACAACTAACGTGATTAGTACGATATGCTACTATAACTGACGTTTTTCAAGGAACACTCTTAGACACATTTTGGTTTAAGACTCAGATAATGAATGGCACACACTCTCGATAAGTTCCTTATATTGTGTGTTGACAATGAATAATCTAAGACGAATATTTCTAAAATTTTCTATGACAAATATCTGCAGTACATAATATTCTCACTTTCACGTTATTCCCCGTGTTTCTTGCAAGAATAGAGAAAGTAATATAAATATCAGATAAAATGAGAAGCTACGAATGTATGGATGACGGAATGAGATTGAGAATTGTCGGTAGATTGGAAGCAGGCCAATCACAAGCGCAGGTGGCTACAGAGCTCAGTATAATGTCCAGTGCCGTTTGCAGTTTCTGGAAAAGAACACTGGATCCATATCGAGATTAAACCATTTGGATTTGTAAAGATTTCCTTTATACAAAATTTGCATTACAAGCCATTTTTTAAAATCGTTTTAGAGCAATTTAAATAGTCATTTAATTATAACTAAAATCTGTAGTCTTGTTAGTATAATTAAAATAAACAACTATTTAATTTTGCAACTGAATTTTTAGGAGTGTAAATATAATTTTTCTGTGGTTTGTTTCTGCAGTTGATACCTCTTATATTTCTGGAAAGAGAGTGCGCTGGAAAACTGAAGTTTAGAAGCTAGCAAAACTCTTTAACATCTTTTAGGAAACCTCTGATGAAGAGAATTGTTTAGAGGTCATAATGATGTATCTCTGGAAAGTTATAAAAGTGATAAAAAATGGAAAATATACTAAATAATGAAATGAAATATCAATTCCCTGCAAAATATTCCGTGTAAACTCCATGGCATTGTTAAATGATAATACAGTAAAACAAGCTAACTTCAAAAATCAACAAAAGAAACATCCGTTTGGTTTCAGCTTAAAATCCAGTAGAAAGGTAATCAAATTGCTATTTTTTGTAATTTTATAAGCAAATTATCAGAATGTGTAACGTAAAAGTATTGTATAAAGATTAATGTTTAAAAGCATTTAAAGAAAATTTTGTTTTAAAAGTTCTTGCACAAATTTAAAAAAAAAATATTTTTTTAAATATTCGGACACTTAATTCTTCAGTAATCTAAAAAGTAAATTTTCTCACAGTAAAAAAAATTAACTAAATAAAGTTTGTTAAATATTCTGTAACTGTATCTCTTCTTATGTAGTATTTGCTCTGTAGTAAAAGTAGTAAGACAGAGTGTAGGGTTCTTGTGAAAATATATATTGGAAAAAATAAAAACTTGCGACCCTCAAAATAAGTAAGAGGGAGCTCATGTAAAATGCGATTTATACATGAGCTTATTGTTACTCATTTTGGGCGCAATGTTAAATTATAGCTTTCATTCGACCGGCGAACTGTTAACTAATACAAGTTCCCATTCGCTTAAAGTACATTTCTCTTCAAGACATTCTGCCTCTTAAATGCCAAAAAGTAATGTACGACAAAATATTTAGCTGAGCTTCTTAAAATCTTAAATACTGTGACATGCATATAGATTCGTAATGGACTGAATGCACAGAGAACCAACAAGACCTTAATCAAATTATTTTCCTAAAAATACTTTTCAATTTTGGAATTTTCCGCATCAAAGCATTTGTACATTTTTTTTCAGTATGAAAGGGCACAATCAGTAGTTACCACTTCAAACTACTAAGAACACAATGCAATGCACCCTCAGGCGATGAAGGTGCATTCAGACGGCCAACAAATAACAGATAGCAAAGTCGATATTGAAGAGTATCGGGGTTGGACAGAAGCCGGTATTCTCGTAGGCAACACAGCAATAGACCAGTAAAAACGGAGATAAGTTCTTGTTTCAATCATTTGGTTTCTGGAAGCTAGCAAGAGGTTATTAAGGGTGGCTCGATTCAACCTCTCTATCGTACTGTCTGACTATGGATGTGATGGTGTCGTTTGGATTTTGTCTTTATCGAATAGTTTACAAAGTTCTTTTATTACAACCGAGGTAAAATTCCTACCTTGAATAAGAATGTAGCAGAAGAGCCACTCTAAACCTGAAAATCCGATGATGTATCCCTACTGCCATAACAGCCTCTTGATGGATATAGCATACCCTTAAGAAGCAATCAGTGACAACAAAGGATGTGCTTGTTGTCATCAGCAGATCCTGGCAGAGGTCTCAGAATGTCGAAGCTTTTTCATTAAAAAGTCCCTGCACCAAGTTTGCACGCCAGCCTTTGGTTTGCTCCAGTAAAAACACTCTCGAACTCTGTACGAATTCTCATCATTGCGAAATGGGCTCCTCTCGGACTACTATGTAGTTTCTAATGACATCCGAGGTCGCATCGTGGAAATATCACCTGCCACTGGAATACATTTCCACCACCGGATTGAAACTTCCTGAATAAAATTTCGTTTCGAATATGGACTGAGTCCTAGACAGCCCAAAATTGTTTTCTCGTAGGATTTCAGATCGAAATGTCCTGTCAAGAAGCTTTTCTGTTTTAAGACTCCATTGAGTGAATTGTGAGTTTCAACGTCTGCTTTCAACTGGTCTTTCTTGACTTCTCATCACTCCATGGTCTGAGCCAGATGATGTTGAAGAAATAACTTGACGTACGACAGGATTAACCAGTTTGTATTTCGCGTCCCTCGAGCAATATCGGCAGCTTTGTGGGCAGTTCTGGATAGGGCGTCGGCGTTTCCGTGTGAAGGTCCTTTCCGATGACAGATAGTGATATCATGCATATGGTGTCTTTGTATCCATCTGGTTATTGGGCCTTCAAGATTCTTGATATATAAGAGCCAGGTTAACGACGCACAATCTGTTTTTAGCTGGAATTTTCTGCAGTAGAGGTAATGATGGAAATGTTCTACAGCCTATAGAGAGCAACTTTTTCCTGGTGGCACACTAATTTTTTTCCGATTTAGATAGACATTAGATAGACAAGACAAATTCTTGACCGCTTATTTCTTGACATAAAAGAGTTCCGAAACTCTTATTTTTCACATACGCGTCAAGCAAAACTTATTTCTCGTGCTGAGGATACGTCAGGATTGTCGCTGTTATTAAAACTTTTTTCCGTTTGTAAGATGCATTCTCAAATGCGTTTATCTACAAGAACGTTTGCTTGCTCTCTGTCAAGGGGTCTTGTGAGGGAAGAAAAGAGCTTCACATATCTCCTACAGAAGGTCGAAAACCCCAGAATGATAGATATTTTCGGAGTGTCGTCAATCTTTAACTGCCGATATTTTTTTTGGATCCGTATACGCACCTTCGGCAGAGATAACATGTCTGAAATAACTCGCTTCATGTCTGAACAATTTACATTTGACAAGACTTAACGCTAGACTGGTTTCCTAATATTTTCTAAATGCTCTTCAAAAATTTTCCCGACGATGGCGATGTCATCAAAGTATATCGGACAGGTTTCGTCGGAAAGATCACGGTCTCCATTATGCGTTTGATTGTGACCGGAACAGCATAATCTAAAACGGCATCACTTTGATTTAGCAATGTCTTTGTTTGGTGACTCTTGTCAGGTAACTTTTTCCGGTCAGCCGCTCTTTAAATCAAACATACAAAACCACTTTCTTCCAGAAGGAGTGTCCAGAATGCTATCAGTACTAAGAACAGGATCGTTGTCTTTCTTCGTGACGTCGTTCAACCGGAGATAGTCAACACAATATCTAGTTGAACCAGCTTTCATTCTGTCCAGGACAGTGGAAGGGGCCCAAGGACTTGTTGAAGTCTTGATAACATATCTTTCTTGCATGTCCTTTAGACTTTTCTACTTCTTTCTGTTAAGCAATCAGTTGATTTTTTGCATTTTGCTAGATTATCGGATGACCCATGTAGCAGTTTTATTCTGTGGCAAACTGATATGACCTACATCAGAAGATCTGCTGGAGAAAGCGTCTTGGAATTCTTGAATGACACGTTCTACAGCACTCCTCCGAGCGGTAAAGTCGCTAAACACTGGTAGTTCGGTCCGAGGTTCGAATCCCGCGAACGGGCTGGCTGCATGGGTGTTTTCGTGGTTTTCCCCATGTGTAACGTGTATACGAGCCAGTTTCCCTTAGAAAGTCCTCCACGAAGGCATTCCTCCCCTTAGGCAGATAGCCCTAGTGTGCTTTGCCATAATTAAATACACGAACACCTCTCTTCATTGCTTAGTTGTGAATTCTGCAATAACTCTGACGTTAGGCTCTCAGTAACTCAGCGATTGGAGGACTGCTGGTTCGTTTAACACAGATCACTGGAGTACATGCTGCAACCACTTCGTCTTTCCTCATGACTTTCGCCTCACCCTTACATTACCAACTCTCACCGGGATTATGCTCCTTGATAGGTAGTCAAGTCTACCAGTACTCCTTACTTACTGTTACAGCTCTTAGAATATTTCATTATGCTGTACCGAAAATCTCTGTTTTCAGCTATGCATCGAAAATTCTCTTACTAGCACTGTGATATCGTCTTAAGACATCATTTGCTGGATAGATTTAACTCCCTTATCTTTGATTTTGAATAGGGTTATTCTCAGAGGCAGAAAGTATTTTATTATTTTTAAAACAATAAAAAGGAAAAAAATTACAGTGGTGGCCAAAATTGTGGACACTTTTGGAAATTTTTATGTTTTTGAATTTTGTATGCTTATAGAAAACGTTACGTTACACAAAATGCAAACTTGTATATATCATTTTAAAGAGAATTTATTATTGAATTCAATACAAAACACAAAATTCAATTATTTGCAATACAAAAAAGGTTAAGCGATAATAGTTATCGATATACATTAGATAGTGATGATTGCAGTGAGTTATCAGTACTTAGTAGAGTACCCTTTATTCTTGATTACAACTTCACATCGACGTTTCATTGAGCTGACAAGAGTTTTAAGCTCTTCTTTTCGTTATTACATGATGCCAGGAAACAATTATAGCCTCAATTATTTCCCTTTATTTGATGGGCGCCTCATTCGGACAAGAGTTTTTAAACGGTGCCACAAATTTTCGATAGGATTGAGGTCAGGACTGTTTCCTGGCCATGACAACAATTTAATGCTCTTTGTACGAAACCACTCTTTCGATATTTTGGTCGTGTGGCAAGGAGCAGAATCCTGCTAAAAAATAAACGAAGCATTGTTGTGAAAGAGATCTCTGATGGAAGGTAGAAGTTTTGGTTCTAGAATAGTGTCAATGTATTTTCTGGCATTCAGTGTCCCATCGATGACAGGAAGGCGACCAATACCATCTGCTGACATGCATGATCAAATCATAACACTAACTGGGTTCTTCACAGTTGCTTGAATGCAGTCAGGATGTAGCTCTTCTATTCTACGTCTTACATATTTTCGCCAATCACTACCGAATAACGATATCTTAGTTTCATCACTCCGTATAACTTGTAACCACTGATCATCTGTCCAATTAATGTGTTCCTTTGCCCACTGTAGTTTTTTTTTTTTTTTTTTCGTTGCTGAAAATTAAGATGAGGCTTTTTTCGTGGAATTCTATCTCTCAGTCCAACATCTGTTAATCTTCTCCTGATTGTTCTTGAACTGACAGAAACACCAGAATCATTCAGATCACTTCTGATGGCATTTTTCTATCTTGGAGACATAACCTTTTCATTCTTCTGTCATCAATAGATGTGGTGCACCTTCTTCGGCCTTTTCCTTCTTTGTTTTTTATTGAATTTGTCTCCTGATATCGCAAACAAAACTTTCGGACTCCAGATGTAGTCACTGAACTACCCACCTGTCTTGCAATTTCAGCATAGGAAAGACCACTTTCTCGTAGCACAATAATATTACATCTCTTTCTAGGTGTCCAATCTACTCTTTTATTTGATGTCATTGATTCTTGAATAAATATTAAAATTTTTACAAAAATTCCTACTTGTAATTGCAGTGTATAAGAAACAGGTCCTCCTTCTA